GAGAGATTTCTCATACTTGGTCCTGAACACCTCCCGGATGTCCAGCATGTCGATCTCACTGCGGGACACCATGATGCGGATCAGGGTGTTGTCTCTTGTGCCCAGCCCCTGCAATGAAGGAACCCATCACATCAAGCCTGGGATGGCCAAACAACCCTGCTCAACCCACCACATGTGGGGCCCTCTATCCAATTTCTACCCAGCCCTGGATCTGAAGGAATAATTCCTTTGGAAGGAAGAGCAGAGACCCCAAGTCACATAGGTCCTTGTCTTCACGGACCCTGCTCTCCAGAAGCACCCCATGGTAGGGGGTCCCTCCTCTGGCCAGCTCCCCTCAATGCTGTGGAGCACTCTGTGGAGAAGGGGTGATTCACTCACCTTCATGGCCTTGTAGAGCCTTTCAGCAAAATATTCTGCTGTGCTTCTGACGCACTTCACTGCAAGGAAAGTGAGGCATGGTAAGGGATGCCAGCACCCAGCTTCACCAGTGCCCCCAGTGTCCCCAGCCTCTGAGCACCCACACCCCTTGGGAACCACATCCAGCATGCCCATCCACCCTGAAGGAGCCTCCCTGAGCACCCTAACACCAGGTACAGCCACAGCCCTGATCTTACTGGCCCTGTTGCTGAGCCCTCCCACTCCAGCAAGGCCACTGACATGTTTTTGCAGCATCCCCACTCAGGGAGTGGCTTACCCACAGCCAGCATCAGCTTCTCAAAGTCACCAGAGAGCTCTCCCCGGATGCTCCTCTCAATTGGCTTCCCAGCAATCTTCAGATATTCATCAAAGACTGTGGGATGAGAGCAAGGCAATGCCTGGAGAAGCTGACAAGATGCCTTCAAGCCCACCCCGAGCTTGCAGGAGATGCTCACCCAAGCGGAGATGCTGCTTGCTCCTCCGGCCGAGGATGTAGATGAACTGGGCCTCATCCGTGCCCCATTTCAGCTCGCCAGCTTCCAGCAGGTCCTTGTGGGATGGGGAGGGTGGCACAGCCCCACTCAGGGTGTTGCTAAGGTGGGGCTCTGCCCATGCATGGGTGGTCTCGGCACCCACCCGCCTTTCGCAGGCCCAAATCCAGATGGTCCCAGTGCCACCAGCCCTGTCCCCACCCAGATGCCACCTGTCACAGCGACCTGCCAAGCCTCACCTTGGCATCCTGCTCCACCAGGTCCTCGCTCACCACGTCGTCCTCCTCCCTGGCGCCCTGTGGGACAGGGACGGGCTCAGCCCCACAGGGCACAGGCACCCACCACCTACAGATGCTGGACAGACGGACATACCTGAAGCAGAACGACGAGCATCTTCTTGAAGTGGCCCGATGTGTCTCCAACGATGTCAGCTTCCAGGTCTCTCTCATAGGCTGGTGGAAGAGGGAGAGGTCAGGGCCTGGAAAACTGGATCCCTTCACCTCTGCCCTTGCCAAGGGCGCACAGGGCAGCCCCTGCCCTTGCCCAGCCCTCACCATCTTTGTAGGCAGCCACCAGGTCGTGGATCTCCTGGTTGGTGCGGGAGGCGAGGATCTCGATGAGGCACTTCTCATCTGTGCCGATGCCCTGCGGGCAGAGACACAGCCCCATGAGCAGTGGGGCTGGCTGGGGGGTCTTTGGAGGGTCCCCGGGGTGGGGTTTGTCCACCCCTTACCGCGATGGCATCTTTGATCTCCTTGGCATCACTGTAAGCTGGGGGCCGCATCAGGCTCACGATCAGCCGCTCAAACTTCCCCGTCAGCTCATACTTGAGGTCTGCAATGAGGTCCTGGTGGAGGGGAAGAAAGGGGCTGGGGGACCCTTTGCTCCACAGCACCTCTGAGTGGGTCCAGGGAGCAGTGGGTCCCTGCGTGGGCTGGTTGGTGGCAGCCACGGCCACCTGTGTCTGCAGTGGGAGCACAGACCAGGAGTGTTCCTGCCATTACCTTCCCATAGAGGGACTTGTAGGCTTGGCAGATCTCCACTCGCTGCTTGTTGCTTCTGGATGTGATGAGGTCAAGGATGGCCTCCTTGTCACTGCCTGTGGGGAGAGCCAGAAGTCATGGATAGCCCACCACAGCTGGGCTCATCACAGCCATCCTGCCGTGCCCAAAGCTGCTTTGGAGTCGGGGCTGAGAGGAGAAGCAGGGCCAAGCTGTCTCCAGGGAGGAAAGGGAACCAGGAGAGCTTCAGCACGCTGCTAAAGCAGACAGCTGAGAGGGGAGGTGATGAAGGACGCCCAGCCATGCAAGGGTCAACCGAAGGAACAGGGGACACCAAGGGTGGCGCCGGGGTGACAGTCTGAAGAAGTGTCCATACCAAATCCCTTCATGGCATTGTACAAGGCTTCTGCATCCTGGTTGGCGTCAAAGCCTTGGAAATCCTTCACCGAGCCCCTGTAGACCTACGGGAAAGGAGGCAAGAAGGTACAAGGGGAAGGAGCAGCCCCAGCGGGATGGGGGAAGGAGAAGTTGAAGCTGAGCAGGATTGAGGTGAGATCCGTTTCTGCTCAGGCTGCCCAAGGCCAAGCTCAGCCTCAAACATAAATACTTGTTCTTCTCTGCAGTTGTTTCCTGTTTGCTCTCCTGGCTGTATAAACTGTGTGCCAGGTCACGGGAATACATCCATGGCCCTCACTGTCATATCACTGTTTGCTGCTTGTGCCCGTGTTTAAGCCAGATATAGCCCCCTGCACCACGCCTGCAGGAGCCAGGGGGTCTGTTGACAGGGTCCTTCAGCTCTTTCAGTTCCCTGCACCACCTTGGGTGGTGGGTGGCAGGAAAAGGGGAGATCCCAAGGGAAGATTGGACACCCTGAATGCAGGGGAAGGCGCCCAAGGACCAGGGTGATCCCCCTGTAATACAGCCAGGCTGAAGAGAGTTATCAGGGCTGGATTCAGAACTGTAAAGGAAACAATTTTCCACTGCCTGTTGCAAGCAGGGAACCCCTCTGGGTGCTGAGGATGTCCAAGCTTTGCATGGGGAGCCTGGGGGAGCCTGGGGCTGGACTCTGAATGAGATCAGCACCACCCTGGGTGGAAGCAGATGTGAAACCAGCCTGCTCCCACATAAGGAACTGGGATATATCCCCTACAGAGCACAGGGTGGGAAGAAGCTGAGCAGCAGCATTTCCTTAGCGGTCTCGCTGGGGATCAGGAGGGCTGGGAGCCAGGCTGAGCTGGGGCTGTCAGCTGTGCCAGCACCCTGGGAAACTGAGCATCCTCCCTTGGCTCTGCTTGTACCATGTGCCAGCTGGGTATGTGCATCTCCCTGGAATCACCTACTGAGGATCTGCTGCGTGGCTTCTTCAAGATCCCCAGGATCTGTACAAAGGCCCAGGCCTGTTGCCAGCATGGGCATCTAAAGCCAACATGTCCTCAGAGAAGAGGACAGTCCCTGAGCCAGCGACTGCCTCCAGGAACAAACTCAAGCAGATGGACACAGGGCAGCTCCATGCCCCCAGCTCCCTGGGTCCCATCCCAGCACAACAGCTCTGCTGCACATCACCTCCAGCACCTTCAGAAACAAACCAGCCTCTGTAGCGGCTTTTCCAGAGGGAAACTGGGCGTGTCCCACAGGCCCTCTGAGGAGGAGCTGCTGGCACTGGTGTCCCACGTGGAAGGGACCAAGAGGAGACACTGCCCTTTGAGGGAGCCTGGTGGGCACGGAACAGATCGTATTGCAGGTGATTCATCGGGAGAGCTGGATTTAGCCTCGCTTTCCGGCAGCTCCCAGACCCTTCCTGGCTTGGCACAAGCTGCTGCCACACACGTGTCTTGCTGAGATGTAAAGGAATTGCAAGGCAAAGGAGGTGCCTGGAGGCAGCAGGAGTGAACAAGGGTGGCCAGAGGGTGCTGGGGTTGCACAGGTGCTGCTGGTGACCCAAGATTTTGGGCCATGGTTAAATGGAAAGGGGGAGCAGGGCTGTGTTCCTGCTTTCTGCACCCTCCAAGCATGAGCTGCCCACCTTGCCACAGTGCTGCCCTGGCCAGGGCAAGGGAAACTGAGGCAGGAGCTCAGCACTGTTCATCACCCCATGCTCCCTGCATTCTCTGTGGGAGTGAGCCCCAGGGAGGGGCAGAAACATCACTCGTGAGGGAAACAGCATCCTGCCTGCTGCATACTCTTCATACCCCCATCCTGCTTTCAATCCCCTGTTTCAGCTGCCATGGGCCTCCTGCCTCCCCTCCTCCAGCCTCTGAGTCATCCTGGCCCGGCCGGGACCTCCCAGCTAAAAATAAGCCACACTGGGGCCAGGAGGGTGGAAGCAAAATTCCCAGCATGGCTTCGCTCTCTCCCACCACTCGGCTGCTTGGGGTCCTGGACCACCGCAGGGGAATGCTCCTCTGCACTGTAACTCAGCTTCTCCACCCAGAGCAATCGCTGCTTGGCTGGGCAGGAAGCTTCAGGTAATTGGGCTGGAGGAAACAATTGATTTCCCCAGGGAATGGAAAGCAGAGCGGAGAAGGGAGGCTCTGGGCTGGGACTCCTCCCCTGCCCAGGCTGTACCGCGCCAGCCACAGCTGCCCACCGAGGCAGGGTTTTCCACCCACGCCGAGATGTTTTCCTGGCTGCAAGGGAGCACCTGCTCACCCAGCTGCCACACTGCACCAGCCCTGGCTTGGAGTGGGAAATAATCCAGGCAGGGGAGGGGGAGAGGCCCAAGTGGGGCTGTATGCTCTGCAGGATCAGGCAGGATTTCTCTCTAGTGGAAGCCCAAATCCCCAGTGCAACATCTCTTCTCCCCTTCCCACGGCCCCTGCTTCTCTCCCCCATTCCACTGTGGTCCCAAAAGGATTTTTGCTCCTTGCTGTCTCTGCTCCCCAGCCCAGTACTTCCCCCATCTGCATCACATCCAGATAGCATTGGCTGCAGAGGCAGGAATGTAAACAGGCTCTGGGCAGCATCGTGTCCCTGCACGTCACCACCCTTGCTGCATGTCGGAGATACTGCCCCGGCTCTGGGGTCTGCCCTGCGGCACTCCAGTCCCCGTCCCTGCCATGTGGGGGTCACCCTTACCTTTCCTTTGGGTGCCATGGCTTCTCGAGCTGAAAGTCACTGGAGCGAGGGCAAGGAGGAGCTGTGGGAGGGAACAGAAAGGTCAGTGTGGGTTGTGTTAGTTAAGGGGGGTTTGCTCCCGCCATGGGTGTGGGTGTGGTACCCACGGGAGGGCAATGCCAGGTACTGTGGGGAGGGTCAGGGAGAAGGGCTTCGCTGGCCACCGTGTGGTCACCAGAGCCTTTGGTATCTGGCACTGAGCTGGGGACCCCAAGGGCCAGGGGCAGTGCAGAGGGGCCCTGTGCAGCTTCCTGCCAGTGTCAAGAGAAACCGGAGGGGGAAGAAAGTGCTGAATATGTGGAAATGGGCTGAGCATCCTCTGCAGGGCTGGCCCTTCCCACTGCACCCCGCAATGCCTCTCTGCTCCCCTGCATCCCCCAAGCCCTGGGGCCATCCCAGCTGCTGGGGACATCCCACTGCCACATGGTGCTGGGCCTGGGCAGCCCCCACGAGCTCCCACCAGCTTTTATCTGAGTTTTCGTGCAGCGACCAAGGCCACCATCAGTCCCACACATCCTGGAGCCCAGGAAACACAGCTGGGTTTCCAGGGTAACGCACAGGTTGTTTTCTAACACTGGCACCATTTATAGCTGCAACCCACTGCGGTGTGTGCTCTCCCTACCCTCCCAGAGAAAGCCCCCAGACAGCGCCATTTGCTCCGAGGAAGCTGGCAGAGGGAGAAAAACAGCTGGAAAATGGAGCCCGGCCATGAATGAACCGCTGAGCGTCAGCTGAGGCCAGCTATGAGGCACGGCCCCCTCCTTGCTCGCTCACCCTCCCTCTGAGACACGTTGCAGAAAAGCTCAAGGCAGAGCAGGGCCGCCCTGGGGGGATTTCTGACCCCAGACGAGTTTGGTTTCATGCCACAGAGCGAGCAGGAGAAATCACATTAAGTTCCCAGGCTTGGCCACACATCCCTGTGAGAGCAGTCGTGGAGTGGGAGACCCAACCCCTCATCCCCCCACTCAGGTGCAGGAAGCCTGTGGCACCCACGGGCACCCTTGCTGAGTGAAGGAAGTTTTGCAAGAAACCAAAGCTGCCTTCACCGCCCCTTCCCTTGTCAGCTGGGGAGCCTCGGTGACCCTTCACATGGCTCCTGGCTGGGGGAGAGCCCCCACGTGCCCCACACGCGGCGGGGCCGCACTGCGGCCGGGTGCTGGGTGGGTGCCAAGGGATCCCACCCCCACCCACGCAGCCTTTTAGTGCCACTCTGGAGCCTGTAGGTGAAGCTGTGTACCCTCCCGGGAGCAGAGAAATCCCACCGTGGCACAGCCCTCCTGCCTGGCTCTAGGTTCCTGTGGCAGCTGGGCTGAGACCACCCAACTCATCTCAGCAGTGATGGAGAATCGCCGACCACACCCAGTCCCGACCTGTCCTTGCAGTGCCCTGTCCCTGTCCCCCACTGCTGCCAACACCTCGGCAGGGGCTGGGGGAGCAGCCCTGGGAAGATGCCTGGACAAACACATGGCATCCAGTGGGCAGTGAAACCTACAGTGAAACCCAGGGGCTGCAGTGCCCCGGCATGGGGGTACACCTCCTCCCCCAAACGGAGGAGAGATGGGGGTTATGGGCCTCCCTGGACAAAAAGTGAGAAATCCTAAATTATGTGCACAGCCTTTGCAGAAGCCTCTGTCCCCCCAGCAGTGCACCCCTACAACCCCAAGGTCCCTGCCACGGCTTTGGGCTCAGGGGTTGCACCCCAGGAGCCCGACTGCCTTGTGGGTGTCCCCCCGCACAGAGGCCACAACACCCAGTGCCCCACCACACGTCCTGCCTGTGGGGAGCAAAGGGAGCTTCCCCAGGTTAAAAAAAGCCCGCATCCGTCCTCCTGGTGGGGCAAGGGAAGTCGTCTCACCCCACCCTTAAAATGCTCCCCCGCCTTTCTAGAGCTCCGAGCCTCTGGGGTGCCCGAGGGTGCATTTACCTATCAAAACCTGGCGAGTACCAAACCGGGGGGGATCCTCAGCTTGGATCCCAGCTGGAGGGATGGGTGTTTCCGCAGCCCCGGCAGCACCAAAGCGTGGACAAAGGCGCATCCTGGCCGGGACACACCCATGGGCCCCGCAGCAACGCCAGCGCACACCCCAAAAATCACCCGCCGGCAGCGCAGCCCCCCCGGGGCCTTGTTCAAAAGGGAAGATTTTTCATAAAAAGAAATAAGCAGGGATCCCCCTGCAGACGCCCCTTGGAGGGAGCCTCTGCTTGCACGGCTCACCGCCCAGCCTGGGCTTTCCAGGGCTTTCCTCCGCTCGCCCGAGGGTGGCTTTGGCACCTTCTGCTGCGGTGGGTTTGCAGACCCGCCCGTTCCCCCCCGCACCCCCGGCACTGACCGGCAGCACGGGGCCTGTCCGGGCTGTTGGCAGGAGCAGCCGCCGCTCTCGGGGTGTTCTTGTGGCCGAGCGCTCGTCCTTGGCCAGCAGCTGTTTCCTCGCGGCGAGACGGAGACGTCACTGCTCATGAGCCCTCCAGTCCCCGCCTGCCGCGGCAGCGGGGCCAGGGACACATCCCACACCCGCAGCCACGCCAGACCTCAGCCGGGTGCCCGCAAAAGCACCCTGCCCCTGCCCAGGTACGGGGAAGGGGGTCACCTGGCACAACAACCCCACCGGTGGGTGCAGGGGCCGTGTGCCAGCAGCGGTGACAGGCACGGTGCCAGGCCATGCCGGTGATTGCACTTCAGCTGCGGAAATTTCATCCCCTTCCATCGCACCCCCTGCTGTGGTTTCCTGGTGAATGCCAGGGGCAGGGTTCCCCACTGCCTCCCGGGCTTGTCCTGTTGTCAGCCACATCCCCCCTTTCCTGGTCGTGGCTGGGAAATGTGCAGCCCTGACTCTCTGCAAGAGCTGGAGGAAAGAAGAATGGGGTGAGGTTGGCACCCCAGGACCTGCTGAAGGGGGAAGGTGCTGAGCAAGGCTCTGCAGTGAGGATCTGTGGGGCAGGACCAGAGCTGGCTCAAGGATCTGGTTTTCCCCCAAACCTTCCCTCCCGTGCTGCAGACACAGGGATGAGAGGACCTTGCAGCACAGCGTGGGTGCAGATGCAGGCTGAGCCTCTCCAGGATGCTCCTGTACTGCTGCCTGCAGTGCCCTGAGGCCATTTCCTTCCCTGCCTCACCCAGGCTAACCCATCTTTCTTTGCCACCACCCTTTGCACCAGCCAGCACAGAAGCTGCAGCAGGGCTGGAGGAGCTGTCAGGCCTCCCCAGGAACCACGGGCAGGGGTGTCTGTACTCTGGTCGACACCAGCAAGAGCAGATAAAACCAAGGGACCCCTGGAGATGCTGAAGGTTGCTGGTGTGTAACTTTTCAGGCATCCAAGTCCTGGTGGTACCCGCTGGCTTGAGCAGATCTCTGGGGCTGTATAGCATCTGAGCTGCTCAGCCCTGCCTGTCCTGGGCAGCAGGGCCCCCAGGCTGGCTGTGACATACCCGATGGCTGTCCTGCAGCCACAGGGCTGTGCTCCCCTGGAGGCAGCCTGGGAGGGGGAGACCCTCATGGCCAGCTAGCACTGGCTGCTCCTTGGTGCCCTGTTTTTCCCTCAGGACAATGTTCCCTTGGGCTGGCATTGATGTCTGGAGACCTCGCTCATGTGAGACGGCGTGGGTGACAAGCAGGGCTTTGTTCACCCTGCACTGTAGTGTGGGACAAGAGCCCTGCTTTCCTCCCTGTGCCCCTGGCTGTGCCATGGTGTGCTGAGCCCCCCTGCCCCAGAGGTGTGAGCCCAGCAGCTCACAGGGTGCTCTGGGGACATGTGGCTGCCCCATGCAGGCAGGACAAGGCAGCCTTGTGGCTAGAGGGTACACCTACGCTTTAGATGCTCTGGATCCTTCCTTGCTTTGCTCCTGCATGGCTGGTGCTCCCTTCCTCTGCTCTTTGGAAACTGAAAGCTAGAGGATGTGCTGAACCACTGCTAAGAGGGTTTTGTCTCCAAATACTGTAAGCAGAGTCAGCCTGAGCACTACCTACAATAAAATCAAAGTTAGCTCTTCATCCCAAACACCATCTCTCACCCTCTCCTCGGAGCCCAGAGTTGGTCCTCTTCTCCCAAGAAGCTGATATCCAGCCAGGCCACATTGTTGCCTCCCCCATGGCCTCTCTCTGCCAGGAGCAGCCCTGCAGAACAGCCTTGCTGGTGCCCAAGGACACTCATGTGGCTTACTGGCCCCAAACAGCCTCACCCGGAACCCCCATTCTCACAGCCCTGTGCCTTCATTTAAGCCCAGCCCTTGATTTATCCCAGCTCTTGCTCACACTCTGCTGCTCAGCCCCTGTGGGATGCACCCTGGCAGCATCCAAATATCAGGGAAGTGCAGGCAGCCTCAGGACATTAGTTCTGGAGCTACAGCTGCACATGCTGCTGCAAACATCCCATGGAGCTGGGTTTGTGCTCCTCTGCCTCACTGCTGCAGTCAATTCTGGGACCTGCTCACCTTCCTCTGTGTTCCCCAGGGACATCTCAGCCTGGGTACAGTCACAGCTGTAGGTACATGCACCCCTGCACCCCAATCTGGCCATGTTTCTGCTCTTTTCTGCCTGGATTTTTTCCAAAACCATCTCCACAGATGGAAAAGCGGGTCCTGGTGTGAGGGAGCGGAGACAGAGGGAAGGAGTTCCCCCTTTCACCTGCCCAGGCAGCTTGGAGGAGCGAATCAAACACCCTCAGTAATGCCCCTGAGCCCATTAGCATTGCAGGCTGTGTTTATGATTTGGACAGCGTTGTGGGAAAAATATTTCTGCATAGATTTCCCATTGTGCAGCCCGGAGCGGTGGTCAGCAGGGGGAGGGCCGGGGCACTCCCAGAAGGGATTTAAGGGGAGAGTGTAAGAGGGGCTGCCTGGTGCTCATCCTCCTCACCAGCTTGCCACTGGAGCAGTTTGCCCAAAGGATGGCCGGAGTAAGTAGTTTGTTTGCAGGAGAAGGGAGAATCCTCAGGGCGGGATGCCCAGGGCGGGATGGGTGTTGTGCAGTGGGTGGGTGCTGCTGGGGGGGTGTGAAGGCAGCAGCCCCTCACCTCTAGGAGATACAGGATTTGTCCTGGAGGTTGGGGCTCCCTGTGCCACAGGATTTACAGCACTCCATCCCATGGGTCAGGGTGTGGGGCACTACCCTGGGGTGTTCCCTGTCCCCTCTGGCTCCACACCACAGCAGGGATTGCGTGGCCCTGTGTCCCCTGTGCCGCAGGGATGTGCCGCTTACCGCCAGTAAGTAGCAGGTTATGGAATTCTGAGTGTGTGGCACAGGCTTTGCTTTGCTTTGGGGTAACCTGGAGGGCCTGGCAGCACCATGGGATATGGAGCCATGCATCCCCTGTTCTCCAGTCCTGGGAACCCCTGGGAAAGGGTGTGCAGGATGGGGGAAGGCACACAGATCCTAGGCATGCCATACCAAGCACCCTTTTTCCCCAAAGCACAGTTATCACACTATTTGGGGTTTCTGCTGGGCTGATATTGCCTTTGGTGCTGGGATAATCTGGGCAGTGTGTCCTTGCTGGGGATTCTGCTAGAGCAACAGGTCTTTCTGAGCTGGCAGGGAGACAAGCAGGTGTCCTTATCCCCTCTCACCATAGCACAGTCGGACAGAGCCCAGCAAGCCCCAATCATGCATCGCTCCACTTCTCACTTTAGCCCAAAAATAGGCTGTTTTTCTGGCAGAGACAGAGAACAGGCAGCACCCAGTGAGTTCAGAAAGCACTGTGTGGATGGTGGGAGCTGCAACGAAAACATTCAGGCTGTGTTTGGGTCACACCCCAGGACAGTCAGTGCCCGTGGGGCAGCAGTATCCTCATGCCTGCTGCTTTCCTCTCCCACAGATGCCATGCTGGGGCTGCCTACGCTCTGTTCCAAAGATGCTTTCCCGCAGAAAACAAGTGCCAGGCAGCTCAGAGGGCTCCAGCCTCCGCCGCTGCCTCTCCACCGTGGACCTCATCGCCCTGGGAGTGGGCAGCACGCTGGGGGCCGGGGTCTATGTCCTGGCAGGGGAGGTGGCCAAGACCAGCTCTGGCCCGAGCATCGTCCTTTCTTTCCTGATTGCAGCTGTGGTGTCTGCCCTGGCAGGACTGTGCTACGCCGAATTCGGGGCCCGTGTGCCCCTGGCTGGGTCTGCCTATCTCTACAGCTACGTGACCGTGGGCGAGCTGGGGGCCTTCGTCGCTGGGTGGAATCTGCTGCTGTCCTACGTCATCGGTACAAGAGCCCTTTGATCCCTCCACCTTTGCTGTGTTGGTGGCTTTGCTGGGTGTCTTTTGAGGCCTCCCAGGACCACCATCACTGCCCCAGATGTCACCTCTCCCCAGGTACTGCCAGTGTTGCCCGGGCCTGGAGCGCTACCTTCGACCAGCTCCTCGGCAAGAAGATGGGGAGGTTTTTGGGTGCTCACGCGGCCATGAGTTCTGTGGGGCTGGCAGAGCACCCAGACGCCTTTGCTGCTGGCCTGGTGGTCCTGCTGGCAGGTAGGATGCCTCTCCCTATGCCACCCTCCATCAGGTAGGATAAGCTCCTCACCCCACTGTGGGCTCTTCAGGATAGTGCTGACCCCTCTGAGGCTTTGCTGCTTCCCTGAGCAAAGAATGGGGAATAGAAGGGGAATCTGTGGAAATCTGCAGGTCCTCCTGGCTCTCTACCACTGTCCCCACTTTTCCACCCTCCCCAGTAATGTCTAGCCTGGTGTCATCCAGGGGGTTGTCCACTTTTGTTTTGTTTCTTCTCCAGGGCTTCTTTCCTTTGGAGTGAAGGAGTCCACCATGGTCAACAAAGCCTTCACAGCTCTCAACGTACTTGTCCTGCTCTTTGTCACAGTGAGTGGCTTCATCAAAGGTGACCTGAGCAACTGGAAGCTCGGGGAGGACGACCTGCCACGGGCAGTTTCTCATGAGGATGGGTATGAGGGGCTCTGCTCTCCCTGTGGTGACTTCAGGGTGGGGATGGGGGTGGCTGGGTCACCCCCCTAATGTTTTATCCCAGGAAATCGTGCTTTCTCCCATTTCTCCCTGCCCTAGTGGCAAAGTCTTAACCCTGCTGGGTTGATGCTGAGGGCTGAGCTGGTTGGATGGACTGTTCAGCCTGACCCCCTCCTGGGACCGCATTGCACTGACAGCCCTGCACTGCCTGACTCTTCCTCCTCCTCCCAGGAACCAGTCCATGGCCAACAACACGACCAGTGCCTTTGGGGTGGGAGGCTTCATGCCCTATGGTTTCACTGGGACCTTGGCTGGAGCCTCCACCTGTTTCTATGCCTTTGTTGGATTTGACTGCATTGCTACCACGGGTAAGTGAGGTGGGAGTGATGCCAGTGGGACCCTCCCCTGAAGACGGGGGCCGTAGCAGTGACTGTCCCCACAGTCCCAGGAGCTGGTGCAGGGCTGGGAACAGGCACATTCCCAGCTCTGTGCTGCAGACGCCCTCTCCTGCCCTCTGTGCTCAGAGGAGGAACTACGAGAGTCCACGTGGCGTGTCTGGGCTAATCCTGAAGCAGACATTCCCTATCCCCATATCCCTGGAGCCCGGGAGGTCTAGTGGTCCTTGCTAGAAGGTCTCTGTGTCCCCTCTCCTGGAGGGATACAGGATATACTCTCCAATCTGAGCTGGGCTCTTAGCATGCTGTGCACATTACATGAGCATCTGCTCCTACAGCTGAGCTTGTCCTTCCTAGGGGAAGAAGTGAGGAACCCGCAGAGATCCATCCCCATGGGCATCATCCTCTCCCTCCTCATCTGCTTCCTGGCATACTTTGGGGTGTCTGCTGCCCTCACCTTGATGATGCCCTACTACCTCCTGGACCCCATGAGCCCACTGCCAGTGGCTTTTGAATATGTTGGCTGGAGCAGTGCAAAGTACACCGTGGCTGCAGGGTCACTGTGTGCCCTGACAACCAGGTGAGTGGCATCTGCTGAAGGTTAAGAGCAAGGTTGCACTGGAGTTATAACACATCCAGGAGCTATCTCCAACCCCTTCCTTCTGACTGCCCTGCTTGGCCAAAATCCCTCAGCCCTTCCCCACAAACCCTGGCCCCTCCTGATCAAGGAGAGCAGCCAAATCCCCCAGCATTCTGCTTTGAGCCCAAAGCTGGAGGAAGTGGTCAGATGGCACCGTGACCGCAGGAGTGGCCTGGGGTGCTCTGGCATGCACAGGGCTCTTTGAGACTGTGGACATCTCTTTTCCAATACTGCCCATCATCTGGTGGTGAGGAAGGTGATGGTCTTGTCAAAGTGGTCTTGAGAAGGTCATAGACTATACAGAAGGAGCTCCCGTGGAGGAGCAAAAGGCAGGATGGCACCTCCTGGATTCCTGTCCTCTTCTCCCCCATCTCCTCCCCTTCCTGCAGCCTCCTGGGCTCCATGTTCCCCATGCCACGGATCCTGTATGCAATGGCTTGAGACGGGCTCCTCTTCAAACCCCTGGCCAAAGTTAGTCGCCGTCAGTGCCCAGTGGTGGCAACGCTGGTGTCTGGAGCACTGGCAGGTGGGTGACTGGTTGGGTTACCCTGAACCTCGAGCAGGGCTTGGTGGGTGTCCTCTTTCCCTCTGGTTTACCAGTAGCTGTTTGAGCTCTGCTGGGAGGCTGAAAGGGCTTCTCATCCCTGCAGCTCTCCTGGCCCTTCTCTTCGACCTGAGAGCCCTGGTGGACACGATGTCCATCGGCACACTGCTGGCCTACTCCATGGTGGCTGGCTGCGTGCTGCTGCTCAGGTGAGACTGCTGGGGACAGGGGACAGGGCTCACCCAGCTCCTGATGTGGCCATGCCTGGGACAAGGCTCCGGCCTGGGTGTGCTGCAGGTGCAAACTCATGTGCCTTGACATCCAATATCTGCCCCTCAGGTATCGGCCTGGACCCAGCACTTGGGACAATTCTGTGGGGAAGGTCCCAGCTGTGCAGCTCTGGTGGGACCACCTTATCCAGCCACCCCTGCATCCCACCCCACGTTCCTCCTCTGCAGTGGCCTGGGCTCTGACAGCTGTAGGTACGTCTGGGAGTGATGGATGGGCTTTACAGGGAGCCAGCATGGGGGGCCCACGGGGGACACCTCTGGCAGGTTCCTGCTCAGTGAAAACCACCCAGCAGCAGGAAGCAGGATCTGCCTGGCTCCCTCCTGCCCTCTCCCCATTGCCACACAGCTGGCTTCTCCACTGGGACCTTGGGAAACCTCAAGCTGCTTCTGCTTCCCAGACTGGAGAGAAAAGTTAAACCCATCATGACAAGCCACCCAGCCCTGTCTCCCAGCTGTCCTTTGTCCCGCCATGGCAGCCTGGGTGCTGCATCCCAGGAGAGGGATGGGTCTGGCCCAGGGAAGTGCTGCCCTGACGCTGCCGTGGTCCCTCCACAGCTGCCCTGGTGTGTGCCCTGAGCTGGGTGAGCACTGCTGGGCTGCCCTGCCTGCGGGCTGGGGGTGCCTGGTGCATTGCAGCTCTGGCTCTGCCTCTCTTGGGAATCCTGGCAGCAGCTCTGCTCATCTGGAGGCAGCCTCAGAGCCGGGACAGAGCATCCTTCATGGTGAGCACTCAGCCCAGCCCTAGGGACATTCCCAGGGAGAAGGACCTGGGGCATAGAGAGGGATGCCATGGAGAAAGAGTGATGTGGCATTGAGATGTGTTCCCTCTGCTTTAGGTCAGGCAGATCTTTGCTGCATCCACCTTAATAAAGCACTGTTGGAGGCAGCATGCAACTCATAGGGTTTTCCATAGGGACCATGAAGGCTGTCTGGTTCTTCCCCTCATATCCTGCAGGCTGAAGGGGCACCTCCTGCAGTCCCTGATGAGTCCAGTGCCTGCTGCAGGAATCAGAGCTGCTCTTCAGTAAAAAGATACTTGGCTTTGACACCCTGGATTGGTGTTGCTAGAGGTTTTCTGCCTCCCCCTCAAATCCTGCAGTAGCTCCTGCCCCAGTGCAGGACATGTAAACCAAAGCAGCCTCCACAAGCATCCCTCTCCAGCACAGGCTGCAGTCCCAGCTTGGCTCTCTGAGCCTCACAGCCAGGCTGGGCTTCCTGCAGCAACCAGCCAAAGCAGCAAAGAGCTGAATTTAGCTGTGAAACCCCTATCTGCAGGCCAGTTCGTGCCTCTGGGAAGAAGGGAAAACCCCGTTCCCTTGTGCTTTGTCCCTGCAGGTTCCCTGCCTGCCCTTCCTGCCGCTCCTCAGCATCTCCATCAACAGCATCCTGATGGCCCGGCTCGGCGCGGCCGCCTGGCTGCGGTACCTGCTCTGGATGGCTGTCGGTAAGCACGGCCACCCATGGGGTCCTGGAGCTGGCAGCAGCCTCTCTGGGTGCAGCTCTGGTGCTTTGAGAGCCTGTGGCACTGATGCTGCTCAGAGCAGTGACAGGGGAAGGGAGGAGATGCTGAACTGTGATGTCCAGGGGTGGTGTGAGCACCATGTCCTCTGGTAGATGGCCCAAAAGAACGGGAAGGGGTGAGCACACTGTGGCGGGGAGGGGATGGAAGAGAAACACTCCATGCACACCTAATTCTGTCTGTTCCCAGGTTTCCTTATTTACTTTGGCTACGGGATCTGGCACAGCACTGAGGGCCATTGGCCTGAGGGGGCAGCTCCCTGGGAGCCACCGGGAAGCACGGCCAGGGAAGTGGCCCTGGAGCCCTGTGGGACTGCCCCGTGCCCATCTGCTCCAGGGCAACAAAAGAAGATGGCTCATCCCTGAGGGCCTGGCTCCCTCCATCCTCTGCCCAGGTGCAAGGAGGGCCCGTGGGCTGAGGGTCCTGTCCTGCAGAGGGGGACAGCCCTGCCACAGCTGCAAGAGCTGCTTCCCCTGGGTCTGGTGAACCTCCCTGAGCAACCCAAATCCTCACAGTGAGCCCCTGCAGAAGCAGTTCTGTTTGGAGAGGATAAAGCAGACAAGTGGTTTTGCTGCTGTTATTGGGTTGTGCTTTTTTTTTTTTTACCTTTGAAACCTCTCCCTGCAAGGCCCCAGTGTCCCCTTGGTCCCTTGCACCTGGCATGTCCTCCCAACATCCCTGAGCTTGCTGGGCAAAGCTGGAAGATGCCCCATCACCCTTCCCCAGAGCCAAGGAGGTGCTTGGATGATGCATGGAGCAGTAAGTGCCCTGGGGGGACATGTTTCTGACACAACAGATACTCCTATTCCCCCTCTGGGCACCCTGTGGAGGTGTGTGGGTAAGAGCTGGACCCCACATCCATGTTGCCTTCCTGGCTGCCTCGTTCAGCTGCTCTTTTCCCGATAAGGGTCAGCACAAAGCACGGAAGTGGCTGTTGCAGTGGCCCTGCAGCCTTGGCAGGGCTGGGATGTTCGGGGTCTGCCCTGTGCTGGGAGCCCATTGAAACGAATGAAAAGAGGGAAGGAGCAGGAAAAGATGGATCAGCTGTAGGGGCCCATTCTGGGGCTCCCTTGTTGTGTCTTTGTGGGGCCTGCTCCCACCCTCTCCATCTTCCCACCACACTGGGTTCAGAGCACACAGCCCCACTCTGGGATGCTCCTGCACCAGTTACCAAAACCACTGACATGGAATTCTTGAGGCTGCTGCTTCTTACAAACTTGTAATTGTTACAGCCAGTAGCACGTTGGCCTGGTGCACGCACACACACACACACACATGCACACCCCTGGCTAAACAGCCCTGGGGAGGGGACAGGCCAGTGACAGCCTGGAGCAGTGACCGTCCCACCACACTTGTGCACCCAGTGGAAAGTGCTTGTGTGCATCCAGCCCTGACCCACAGCCATGCTGGCAGCATCTTCCCTGATGGGGATGCGCTGGCTCAGAGCAGGACGTGACCTGCTGAAGCCTGCTGTCCCTTGGGAGGATGCTCTGCTCCCTGAATGTGCAGCTCTGGCACGCAGCCTCTGCCCAGCTTTGGGGCAGGAGATGGGGCTCGTGGTGCTGCTGAATGGGCAGTGGGGACAAGGAGGGCTTGGGGTCTTTGTGGCAGTGAGCAGGGACACGCCTGGGCTGCAGGAGCAATCCCTGGGAGACATTTGCTGAAGGTGAAGGAGGTGATGGGAGGAGGAGGGCAGGGATGGGAGCCCTGCCTAGTGAGGTACCTTAACACCACGTTCCCAGTGCCCTCCTCATCCTCCCAGTGCTCACCCCTATCCTCGTGACCACCTCGTCATCCTCCCCTCACGCTTCGGGCAGCACTGGTGCTGGTTATGCTCAGAGCCAAGCGCTGGGTCGGACTGGCCCAATGCAAGCCTGTGTGTCCTGGCTGACCCCTTTTGCCCCCAGACAGCCCCCCACAGATTGCCACCAGAGGAAGGGGTGCAGGGATGGCACGGGTGGGTGGCCAGGGTCCCTCTGCAGCCCCGCAGGGGCTGGGGAAAGGCAGGCGCGAGTGTCCTGTGAAATGCTCCATTACTCTGGTCCCATGGGGCGCCCCCGGGGCTCGGCCGGCCCAGAGCCTTGCCCCGGCTGGGGGGGCACTTGTGAGAGCATCCCTGGGCTCACACAGCCGGGGAAAGCCCCGTCAGCCCCCCCCGGCAGCGCGCGGTGCCGTGGGCGCGGTGCTACGTGGCGATGAGGGGCACCTCGCCGGCAGCCAGGGGGAAGGGGGTGCCGTCCCCCCCGTTGAGCACCCGGTACAGCAGCTCCTCCTTCTCACGGTGAGCTTGATCCCGCAGCTGTGCCTCCTTCTCCAGCGCCCCACGGGCGGCCTGCAGCTCCTCCGACAGCTGCCTGTGGGCAGACAGCATGTGCTGCTGGAGCCGCCGGGAAAAGCGCCCGCCAGCCCCTCTGCTCCCCACAAAGCACCCGGTGCCACCTCAGGCTGCAAGGTGTTCCCCCCCACTGCCACCTGTGCCCCCATTGGAGGTGCCACCTGTGCAGTGGGGAGCCCTCTGGGCACGTGGGACCGGCACTTACCTTGCCATGACCAAGTGGTTCTGGGTGCGAACTTGCAGGTCCTCGTTCTCCTGCTGGAGAGTTTTCACCTTCTCCTCCAGCAGAAGGTTCTTCTCCTCCTGGAAGAGGGGCATGAGGGTGAGGAGAGAACACCTCCAAACCCTCCACCACCCCATCTTGGGGAACACTGGCTTAGTGGCATTGCACCCTCATCCCCTCCCCACTCCAAGACAGGAACCAGGCTCCATCCACCTTCACTGCAGCTGTAATTTCTGGGCAGAATTTAGGTGGGGAGAAGAGTAGAAAAGAGGAAAGCCCACCTTTGCCCCCCCATCCCCCCTTTCCACCCACCACGTTTTCCAGGTGCAGCAGCTTCTTATCCAGGCCATGGATGTGCTCATTTTTCATCTCGATGACGAAGTGCAGGCTCTCCAGCTCCTGCTCCCAGAAGGGGCTGGGGCTCCCATGCTCCTGCAGGGCCATCACTTGTGTTGAAGGGACCTCAACAGCATGTCCACCTCCCCAGGACAGGCTTTGCTCCCCCCTTCAGCTGTTCTGTGCTCCCACCTCGTTCGAAGCCCCCTGCCAGGGTCCATCAGAGAATCCCCCTGGCTTTGAGTCAGAACCCCAGAGCAGGCCCCCTCCCTGACACCCCTCCCCACACCTGGATGTGCTTCTTGTAGTCTGTGCTCAAGAGTGACTCCTCCACCCGCTTCATCTTCTCCTGGAAGGATTTCAGCTGGGAATTCAGTGCTTGAATTGTCTCCTAGGGCAGCCAGGGAAAAAGCAGGATGAGAGGTATCTGGGATTTCTTCCTGAGCCAGAGCACTGCTGTGCTATGGCACGCAAATAACCCCAGGGCTGGAGGCGCTGGCATGGCCTCTGGGCACACCAGGGACTGAGATGGCCACCGAGGAGCAAGGGGCACCATGGCAGAACCAACAGCTGGTCCTCAAGCCCTCCAAAAGCACCCCTTCCCAGGGATTTCTCTGCAGGTACCTGTAAGGCCGCCTGGGACCTCTGGTGGGACTCTGCCAGCAGCAGCTTCTCCTTCTCATGTGCTCTCTGGAGCTCTGCAGGGTGGATATGAGCTGAATGTCACTGGTTTGGGGACACTGGGACAGCAAGCCCCACCTGAGCTCCACAATTCTGGGGAGCAGCATCCCCACAACCCTACAGGCAGCCAGAGGAGAGGACAGGAAGGCTGCAAAGAGCCCTGCTGCCCTGACATGCACCTTGCAGGGTCTCTGTGTGCTCTCTCCTCAGGGCATCAAACTGCTCCTTCAGCTCCAGCTCTTTTGCCTTTTCCACCTGGGAAGCAGGGAGATGACAAACACTTAAAGGATGCAGAGCCACAGCACTCTGGGCTTCCTAACATTTCCCTAATCCCTTCCTTCTCCCAAAAATGGGAGAGCCCAGCCCAGCATGTACCAGGTCCGTGATCATGGCCTGGGAAGTCCTGGCTGGCCACAGGCTCCATGCCCAGCACTGTCCCCACGTGCCTTTCCAACCAACCTGGATGTGAATGTCCTGGATGATGCTTGTGGTGCCTGCCTGGCCAGCATCTCGCAGCTGCTCCTCCTCCTCCTGGCCTTGGAGGAATCTTGCACTTTCTGTCCACTCCTCTGGCAGCACTGCCTTCTTTTTCCCATCCTCAGAAAGCAGGGAGGCATTGGCTGCAAGACAAACACGGCTGAAACAGCACTGGCCACATCTGACTACCCAGGCTGCTTGGGCATCCTGGGCAGCCAACCTGCCAGCACGGTGAGCAGCTCTGTCCTCTTCCCACTCGACAAATGCCTCCCTCCACCTCACTGGTCCAAGTAGCACTAATTGGGGTGGTGCTGGCAGGCTCAGAGAGGACACAGAGCTTGTTAGGTCTGCTGTCCTGGGGGTGACCTGTCTGACTGAGAGGATGGGATGCCATTGGCTCTAGGATGCCATTCTCTCTGGGATGCCATTCCCTCTGGGATGCCCTGTCTGCCATCCTGTACCAGCTGCAGCCACCCTCCCCATCCTCCCCAGCCCTGTGCAGGCTGCTTAATATCACACTGAAAAAGCACAGCAGGGGTAAAACACACTTTTTTTTCTCACCATTCTCTGTCTTCAAGGCTGTGAGCTCCTGGGAAGCTGATCCCCTCTGCTGCTGGGCTTTTAGCTGTCTCTGGCAGAAAGAGAAGGGGCTGGAGCAGGGGGGACAGAGGGGGTGTCTGCAGGCAGAGGACACCCTGCACTGAGCACTCTTCAGTCCTGCTAAAACACAGCTTTTCGAGCAGCAGTGGTCCCTCCCCAGCCCCCTGCCCTCTCCCAGCCCTGAGCATCCATGGGGGTACACATGCTGCCCATCAGACAGCCTCAAGCTCACGCCACTTCCCTGCATCCCAGACACTGCACCATGTAGCATTCAGCTGGAAAACCTGGGGGATGCTCACAACTCTCCCCGCCCCCTTCGCCCAACATGGTGCTGGTGCAAAATAGACTCCATCAGCAAAACATTGGGTGGGGGAGAGCAGGCAGCACTCGGCAGGGCATCGGCTGTGGCGCTCCCCTGCCACCCTCCTCCTGTCCTGGGATGCTCAGGGTCTCTGGCACCTTGCAGTCCCCCAAACACACCGCTCTGCCAGTGCATTTCGCAGCTGGGCTTTGACACAGCCCGTGCTGGGGCAGGAGTGAGAAATGAAACATAACCATAAATCAGAGGTGATGCAGACCCTGTGCAGGGCTGGCAGCAGGCGAGGGCTGGCGGCGGCCAAGCAATGACCTCAGGAGCGCAGGAATGTGCCGCTCAGCCCCGCGCTCCCGCACGCTCCCACTGCTGCCACGGGGCTGAGATAACACAGAGCCGGGAGCTGCCTCCAGCAACACAGCTCCGTGGGATGCCTTCCAGCCCTGCATGGGTTTAATTTAGTCACTTGGAGGGGAGGAAAAAAAAAAAAAAAAGAAGTGGAGATATATTTTTATCAGTTGCTGAAAGATAGAAGCAAAGCTCGCCCGCTCTCACAGCTCGGCTTCACCGGCGCAGGGCGAGTCTGGGCCCTGATGCCCATCACCAGGTCGTGCTTCTGGGCTGGGACACGGATGCACCACGGGTGAGAAAATACACCTGCAGACACGTTGCTGCTCTCCAGCCCCTGGCAAAGCTGCCCCTAAAAATTTACTGGTCCCTACCAGAAACCATCCCTGCCGCCTGTGGGGAGCTGGGGAACCCCCCTGTGCCGGCTGCTCCCCCACTGTCACAGCAGTGTGGCCAAATACAGCCAGATTAGGGAGCCTGGCTGGGGAAAAAAAAAAGCAAGGGAAAGCAAGCAGGCGTCCCTGCCTCTGCCTCCCCTGCAGCCCCCCTTCTGAAGCTGGAGGGAGGCGCAGTTCCAGAGAGCAGGAGAACTCTGAGCTGCTGGGAAGCCCCGGCTTTATCTTCCCTTCTATGGCGCGAGCGGCCGTGGCATTGAACGTGGCCCAGGAAACGCGGCGAGGAGGCAGTCGGGGTTCAGAGGGTTTGTTCTCCTTGTCCACACAGCTCAGCCTGAAAATGTGGAGTGCCCTGGGATGCCGGAGACCCTAACCTGTCCCCTGCACACACCTCATGCCAATGTGCATCTTCCTGCTATTTAACGTTCCCATGTCCTGTGATGGGTTTGGGAGTGGGGGAGTGAGGGGAGAGAGGGGGTGGATGAGCAGTTAGGGCTCTGCAGGCCTGAGGGCATCATAGGAATCCCAAAATGCCCCCCTCCTGCCAGGTTTTACTCCCACAAAGCAAAGGCTATGTGTGGGAACTATCCTGACACAGGGAGGGTAGTGTCACA